AATTCGCATCCATCCGTCAACCCGCTCAATCCATACCTGCCGAATTGGCAGACAGATGCGAATTGATTTTTTTTAATCTACCAATTCAGTGGACGAATGGCGGATTAGAGGTTTCATGGCCGCAACCGATCCACGCCCACCCCTAGTTTTGGTTTAGTGTATTTTTTAAAAATTTTGTTCACAAATGTTATATTTTTTAAATGTATTTATGTTAAATGTGTCTAAAAGTTAAATTTTTTAAAAATTATTTTTTGAAAATCAAAACTAAACAAGTTAATTTGTTTTCTTTGCTTGTTTTTGACATGCATCATGCATGTTGTCAACACCTACAATTTCAAAGATACAACATGCCACCTAATATTTTGCACCATTTTTCGGGATGTTCTTATTTATTTATTGAATTAGGAACATCTTATTAATGATACTACGTTGACTCAGGTTGTTTTGAAAAAATAGTTAAAAATTTATTTTTTTAAGCCTTTTTTGAATTAACGTGTAAAAAATGATATGAATCAAAATAGATTAAAAATTAAAAAATAACGTTTAATCATCTCTTAAAATGACCCTCAATCTATGAAGCACGGGTACTCCAAAAATAGTGCCGTACAAGCACCGGGTACTTACTGGGTGCGGGTACGCGTACCGATACGACTGCACGCGTATCGGGTATGGCAAAAAGTGGTCGGGTACGTCTGCCTCAGTCGGGTACGACATGGGTACGGCTTAGGTACGGCATGGGTACGCCTTTGGTGCGTTTTGGATACATCGGGGACAAAAATCAATTTTTTTGAAAAATTAAGGGGTACCGGAGCAATATTAAGAAAAATTTTTAAAAAATAAAATAAAAAATGTATATACGAATGAAGTTGTTTTGCCCTAATCTCATCCCTTTTGACCTAATCTCATCAGTTGAGCACCAAGAGGCGACTTCGACCCAGAGATCATCTCGTCTTCGACTTCGACCTAGAGATCACCCTCGTCTTCGACTTCGACCCACGGCATCGGGTATGACTTCTTCTTCGCTGTTTCATCACCCTCCTCTTCTCTCATCTTCTTCGTTTTTTCTTCTTCATCTCATTTTTTTTTTTTTGCAGAGATCAGCAAATATCTATCATCTATTTTCGTCCCCCGCAACCAAGTAAGTGGTCAGAATTTCTTCATCTTTATTTTTTTTGTTTTTTTTCTTGTTTCTTTTTTCTTCTTCAGAGAGGTATAATCTGATGTTGATGTAGAACCAAAAAAAAATTAGAGAGGTATAGAACCAAGTTATTCAATCATATTTAGAACAAAAAAAAATTTAGGTCAAAAAAATTAATAAATTAGAACACAAATATATTAATAAAAAATTAGAACCAAGTTAATAAATTAGAACACAAATATATTAATAAAAAAGAATTCAAATATATTAATATTTTTGTCTTTTAGTTTTATAGTTCTCTTTTTAGTTTTGATATTTAACTTCAATTTGTAGGTTAGATCTTTTAACCATAATTATAAAAAATAAAAAAATATCGGCACACCGCAGCCGTACCCGTGCCCTACTTTTTTGGGATTTTTCCGTATCGGCGTACCCGTACTCGTACCCGTACCGTACTCGTACCCACACTCGTGCTTCTTAGCCCTCAATTTATTAGTTAACTTTTGCTTTCTTTGGGATTATCTTGTTAGCGGAGGATTCCCTCCGTTCTAAAATTTAGATTAATAAAGGATATTTGAGTCTGTAAAGTTTATTATGAGTCCAATTTTGTTGATCCAAATCGTTCATTTTGTTAAATATTTCGTATATTTTATTCACAAAAAAATTAGGTCAATTTGATAACTGTAATTCATTCAGTTTATAGTGTTTTTCACTAAAAAAATGAAAGACAATTGTGTTTTTAAAAAATGAATTATACATTTTTTATGACAAATAATAAATTGAACAAGTAACAGTTATCGGATCGACATAATTCTTTTGGATGAAATGCATGAAGTATTGACAAAATGAATTGTTTAAATTATCGAAACGGAACCCATAGTGGACCTCAATGTCTCACATGGGTGTGAAGTTCGCAATTTTATGAATTTCGCAACTATATGAAATATTTGATTATTTATTTAATAAAAAATTTGAAACATATAACATTTTCCTTATATTAATGGCTTAATGGCTCTATTTATTACTTGACTTATTTTTGTAATTATTTTAAGGTCAAATTTTTATTTTATTTCTAGATCTGCCAAAACTAGTAGATGATCCTTAAAATTTTAAAATTTTGGAATCAATTTTGAAGAAAAAAAATTATTAAATACCAAAATAAGTCAAATTTTATGGAAAACCCAAGAAGTTAACTTTGTGTTTTCAAACAAATAAGTGGACTTTTTATAGTTAAAAAATAAGAAAAAATTATTTATAAATCCCACCTTGAAGGATGGTGATCTGGTTAGTCTTAAGAATTTTTTTATAAATCAATTAGTTCAATTAATTTTAAAAATATAGATTTAATATATTATTTGAAAACTGAATTTACAACTACCTCTTACTTCCTTTTTTTTGCTTTTCCAACTTTTTCTTCTTCTTCTTCTTCTTCTTCTTCTTATTATTATTTTTTTTTGGTGTGTGTGCTAGAAAGGTAAGATATACAATCTATGAAAATCAAATTTGGGATAAATTTTTATGTAAATATATTTTTTTTATGTGGAAAATATTTCAAAAAGAGTACAAAAATGACTTGAAATATATGATTCTTCAAACATTCTAAAAGAATGTAGGATTATCCAAACATTTCAAAAAAAAATACAAAAACTCCTTTGTAAGTTTCGGACAAATGTATAATTTCAAATTGTAATACCCCAATATAACACCCAAAAGTAACACTCCAAAAAAACTCATAAGTAAATTTTTTCCAAACGTAACATTCCAATATAACTCTCTAAAAAATTTGTTAGTGTAACACTCTAATGTAACACAAAAAAAAATAAAAAAATTCTTAGTATATTTTTTCTAAATATAATACTCTAATGTAACACTTTAAAAAAAATATGTGAGTTTCTTTAAACCATGCCGAATGATTTTTCAAATCATTTCATAAGGATTACAAAAATTTCTTAGTAAGTTTTGGTCAAATATATAATTTCAAACTGTGACTGTAACATTTGAAAAAAATACACTAAGGAGTTTTTAGTATTTTTGTGTGTTACATTGGAGTGCGTTACATTGGAGTGTTACGTTTAGGATTACATTTATTGGAGTGTTACGTTTAGGAAAAATACATTAAGGTTTCGTTTGGGAATAGACTATTTTAGTAACTTTTTTACTTTTTACGAAAAGATGTGCAGAAAAATAAAGAGAGTGATATGACAATTGTGAAAAGGACGAAATTTTCTCCACATGGAAAGCGAGACGAGCTGCTCCTTCCTATGCTTTGTAGAAAAAATACCAAGTTATCAATGATCTTTCCCGACCAGAGTTGGTCGGGAGGACCTTCTAATGATCAAGTTAGAATTTTGTTTGGACATATTATATTTGAAAGGAAAGACTAGTTATATTGGTTTTTTTATTGTTTTGGTTTCCTTGGTTCTTCCTTTTATAGTGTCAATAACTTGCATTTGGGCCGTTGGATGACTATCTTGATCTAATGATATTTTATGCCCCTGGACCTTGGTTGGGCAAGTGGTCAAGTTGTCCTAATCTACCACTGTTAGAGTTGTTTTATTTTGGATGGCCTAGATTAGTTTGGACACTAGTTCTCATCTTTGACTGTTGGATCTTACTCATCAGATGATTCTACTGTCAAGATATGTTGGTCCCATATCTCTATCTCTGTCAATTCTGATCTCCATTGTAGGTTACAAACGAATCCATGGGCTCTCCTTTGTGTTGCGGATTTCCTTCCAGAAGGCGATCTTATTCAAACCTTCTATCACGTGACTTTGTCTCTTTCATTAAGATGGATCTAACAAGAATTTGGGCCTAGCCCTTACTTTGGAGCTGCTTTAGCTGGATTAAATGCTCTGGGCCATATACCCATTTTCTTGGGCTCTAGGTCAATATTTTTACCCTTTACAACAACTTATACTAGTGACTTTTTAATTTTTTGATTTTAGTGTCTTATATTAGAGCAATACATTATCAGACTGTTACATTGGAGTGTTATGTTCTTATTTGTAATGTGAGATTTTTTTCAGAAAGAGGGAAAATCTAAAATCGCTATAGTGCGAGTTGCCAAATGTGTAATTTTACATTTAGAGAAATCCACTTTTATCTCTTAAAAATTAAACCTAAATGCGTAAATGACTATTTTTTTTTGTGTAATTTTAATCTTAATTTTAATGAGACTTTTACTTTATAAGAAAAAAAGAAATAGTTAAACAATTCATAATACCACATTTTAAGATTTATTGATACGCCTCGTTTGGGAACAGACTATTTTAGTAACTTTTTAGTTTTTTGGCTAAAATATGAGATAAAAAAATAGTATGTTTGGGATGTCTTTTTGACTTTTTACGAAAAGATGTGCAAAAAGTAGAGAGAAAAAAGAATCTTTGACTTTTTGGTATAAGTTATTGACTTTTTAATTTTTTTAGTAACTTTTTAACTTTTAGACTAAAACAGCCACTGCCAAACGAGGTCTTAATTAAAAAAAAAATCCAAAAAAACTGTAAAATATTAAGGCCAAGTTTGGGAAGATAAGAAAAAGTCAAAAAGTCAAAAAGTTACTCAAAAAGTTAAAAAGTTAACACTATTCACAAAAAGTCAACAATTACGGCTGCACAGCTCTCAGTTCTAATTTTTTCCTACAAACTAATATTTATAATTTTTTAATACACATTTTTTTATAAAAAGTTAAAAAATTAATCCAAACATCTATATTTTTTTCCTAAATTTTTTAATAAAAAAAATAAAAAATACACTTAATTATGACACCCCAAACAATCCTAAATCAATGATCTCTATTTAAAATTGTTGTTGTGAGGGGGCATAGTATGGATAAATCTTTAAGAAATATAATAGGAAGAAGGAGAAGAAAGGGACCAGAGCAGAAGAACTTGCTTTTCAAAAGGGGGATAAAAGTCAGTTTTGAGTTGAAGACTCAAAGAACTCCTTCCTTCCTTCTTACTACTACCATGGATGTCGAGAAAGTTTTCCACATGACTGGTGGCGCTGGAGACTCTAGCTATACCAAAAACTCTTCTCTTCAGGTCTCTCTCTCTCTCTCTCTCTCTCTCACACACACACACACACACACACACACAAACCAGTTATGTTTTTGATTTTGATTTTCATGTTCTTTTTCTTTTTCTTTTTTTCTTTTCAGAAAAAGGGTTCAGATATGGTGAAGCACATAACCATGGGGGCAATTCAACAGCTTTATCTCACAACATCTCCAAAGAGCATAGGCATAGCAGACTTGGGCTGTTCTTCTGGAACAAATTCATTATCGACCATAAGAGAAATGGTAGACGCAATCGAAGAGACCAATCGCAGCAAAGTTTCTCAACCATTGCCAGAGTTTCGAGTCTACCTCAATGATCTTCCCACCAACGACTTCAACGCAGTCTTCAAGGCCTTGCCGGACTTTTACAGAGAACTCAAGCAAGCAAGAATTGATCAGGGATCCGGCCCATCTATTTACATCGCCGGTTATCCGGGTTCCTTTTATGGAAGGTTGTTTCCGACCGACTGCTTGCACTTCATCTACTCCTCTTACAGTCTTCACTGGCTTTCAAGGGTAAACTTTCATTCATTTTCTTCCACTTTCACCCAGCAAAGTAAAAACAAAAAAAAGAACTCTAACAAAGAGGATTGATTTCATACATATATAGCAGGAGCAACTAAGAAAGAAAGAGTGCCTTGTTTATGCTGCATATATTATATATGCTTGTTTCTATAGGAAAAGAAAGTTCAACTGTCTTTGTGTGTTGTTGATATTTGTAGGCCAAAGTCAATTATTTTGGTCACCTTTAGAATCGCTTAAAGAATGATGATCTTTAATCTTTTGTGATTTTTCTTTTCTTTTGGGTATATGTGCGCTCTTATCAATCAAATTAACCTTGATCATTCTTTTGTTAAAGATCAAAATGATTGATGCTGGGCAGCACAAGATTCTCTGTCTTCAAAATTCATGTCGTCTCCCTATCTTAGTATATAATAGGTGACTAAGAATGCATTGAGAGAGGGACAAAAATCTCGAGAATAGAGAATAATGGCCGGGCAAGGTATTATTTAAGATTTTGAGATTAAAGATTGTGATCGCCCTTTTGTGGATCAAAATGAAGCCAAATAGGTGTTGGACGGTATAAGATTCTTTGTACTCTAAAATCTATGTCCACTCCCCTATCTCAGTACATATATAGTGAGTGAAAAATAGGACATTTTGGTCATGTTTGATTCACAAGACTAAGTTTGATTTACAAGACTAATAGTGAAGTATTAATAATTCTATTAAATTAGTGTGATATTCATTATCCAATTTGATTAATATTCATTTGATTAATAATCCTATCCCTACCCTATTACTAATAATCCTACAAATTTGTTGGATTAATAATCCTAAATCAAAATATTAAAACAAACATAGGATAATTAGCCCCACGGATTAATAATTTCAATCCTATGCTCTAATCAATCCAATCAAACATGCCATTTGAGAACCAAGGATCATAGCCGTGCATGATACTTGGTGTGTAAGCCCATAAATTGCACCCAACATCCTTTGATCCTTATATATTTCACGTTGATTTCTAGCATTTACTAGATTAAGCAAATAAAACATTAACTTGATTTTTATGAATTTTGAACACTCAATTTCGATTAAGGTCTTAAGTTTGAAGCGAAAAGAAAGTTATTTATCACATATTCTCTGAATATATCAATATGTCATACATTAGATATGGAATTGTGCCAAACATTTTTAATGCATTAATTAGATGAAATGTGATTTGATTAATCAGACCTCAGTCCTCACCATCTAACCAAAGTTGACAATGATGATATCAATTAATGTAGGTTCCTCCAGCTCTTTATGATGAGCAAGGAATGTCAATCAACAAAGGCAACATTTACATATCTGAATCTAGCCCCCCTGAGGTCTCAGAAGCATACTTCAAGCAATTCCAAGAGGACTTCTCATTGTTCCTTCGATCACGCTCAGAAGAGCTGATCGCCGGAGGCAGAATGGTGCTAATTTTGTTGGGAAGGATAGGTTCAAACCATGTTGACAGAGGCAACTCATTATTGTGGAAGCTTCTCACTCAATCCCTTACCATTTTGGTTTCGCAGGTAGTGTACTACTTATTGAACTCATAGTCTTATAAAAGCATTTTTTGGGGTTTTTTAATACCAAAATTTACTTTACCCATTTGTGAGGCTGATCTCTTTGTGGTTTTGGACTAATATGCAGTCTAGCCATCAAAATACTATTTTATCCTTGCACGAAAAAGGGCTAGGAAGGGAAGAGGGAGCGGTGGCACTGGTCAGAGGGGAAGGGGGTACGGCGGTGGTGGTTGTGGACAAAAGTGGGGTGGCAGTGAGGGCTGAAAAGCGAAGAGGGAGGTGCAACTGTGGTTGGGGAAGGGAGAAGGGGTGGCTGGAGGTGACAAAGAAGAGAGAAATTGGTTTGTTAGAGTTTTTGAGTTTTTAGGGTTTTGAGGTTATGAAGATAAAATGACTAATGAGGTCATTTATGGTTTTTTTTTTTTTTTGGGCAAACCATTTTTTAGTGAAAAGAAAAAAAAAAAGAATTCGTAAATGGGCACATTTAATACCATTTTCGTCTATTTGGACAGAAATGTGGTAGTTACAAATTAATTCAAAATCAGGAGCTATCAAACTTATATTCGAATTACGGGGTAAAAAGTCTCAAACCAAAAGGAGATAAAAGTGAAATTTAATTTTTTAATCTATTTTATCTTTTTATAACTATTTTAACTTGATAGCCCCCAACTGAGATACCAAGCAAGGGCATAATATATATATATGTGACAATTAAGGTGCTATTTGTTGTCTAATTTCAAGCAAAAGTTAATTTTAGATGAAAAGTTAAAATTAAAGGAAAAAAAAACTTTAAAATTAAAATGAGAAAATAGTCCAATATAAAAATGATAAAATATAATTTATTTATTTGATTTTTTGAGAGGGGGCTTAAACCTCTTTAATAACATACATTTTGTTGTCTTTCTTTGTTTTAATCTACAACCACTTCAATTCTATTAGTGTGTTTGGTTTCAGTTTTTTAAAAATTAAATTTTTTATTTTTTGTGTTTTTTTATTTGTAGTGAATATTTTTAAAATTTTAAATAATTTTTTTTTAAACTTTTTTAGATGCATCTTACTTACATGTATCTAAATAGTAAAATATTTTTAAAAATTCATAAATACGCAAAAGTACAAAAAAAATTCATATGTTTTGGTTAGGGGTGAGCAGCGAATATATCAATTCGCCCAAATCGACCGAACCAAACAGATCCACTGCATTTTGGACGGATGCGTGATGACGAGCGGACGGTTGTGGATTGATTTTTTTCAATCCGCTTAATTTTGGACAGATGGCTGATTTGAGATTCCTTTGGCCGCAACCGAACCACCAAACCACGAGCACCCCTAGTAATTTGAAAGATTTCGTGTTTTCAATTTGTTTAGATATTCTATTTGTATTTTCAATTGAAAAAGAGTTTAAATATTCTATTGAAAAAGAGTTTTCAACTTGATTATATTTTTTTAATTGAAAAAAATAAATATATTATTTATCTATATTTTTTGGTTTTCAAATCTAACTCTAAAAATAATAAATAAAAAATATGATATATGCTGGTTGATTTTTGTTTTGAAAAACATATGTAGATGTAACAATAGCATACAATCTCTACTACTGCTTTATTCATGGTTTTGTGGTTTGAATTGTTTTTATATTTTAAAAATTGTAATACTTTATGTGGATGAGGCATGCTGTGATTGTAATATGTGGATGATGCATGTAATGATTGTAATATTCTAAAGTTTCAAACTTTCTTTCTTTGGATAAGGTATGCAATGATTGTAATACTTTTTTAAGTCATTGACTGTAATATATATTTGCAGAAGTGCACAAATTGAATTCTGTTGAAAATTTATAAATTTTTAAACTGCCAAACCAATTCGCATCCATCCGTCAACCCGCTCAATCCATACCCGCCGAATTGGCGGACGGATGCGGAATGATTTTTTTTAATCTACCAATTCGGCGGACGGATGGCGGATTAGAGGTTTCATGACCACAACCGACTCATGCCCACCCCTAGTTTTGGTATTTAGTGTATTTTTAAAAAATTTTGTTCACAAATGTTATATTTTTTAAGTATATTTATGTTAAATGTGTCTAAAAGTTAAATTTTTTAAAAATTATTTTCTAAAAATCAAAACCAAAAAGTTAATTTGTTTTCTTTGCTTGTTTTTGACATGCATCATGCATATTGTCAACACCTTCAATTTTAAAGACACAACATGCCACCTAATATTTTGCACCATTTTTCGGGATGTTCTTATTTATTTATTGAATTAGGAACATCTCATTAATGATAATATGTTGACTCGGGTTGTTTTGAAAAAATAGTTAAAAATTTATTTTTTTAAGCCTTTTTTGAACTAACGTGTAAAAAATGTAAAAAATGATATGAACCAAAATAGATTAAAAATTAAAAAATAACGTTTAACCATCTTCTTAAAATGACCCTCAATCTATGAAGCACGGGTATTTCCAAAATAGTGCCGTACAAGCACCGGGTACTTACTAGGTGCGGGTACGCGTACCGATACGACTGCACGCGTATCGGGTATGGCAAAAAGTGGTCGGGTACGTCTGCCTCAGTCGGGTACGACAGGGGTGCGGCTTAGGTACGGCATGGGTACGCCTTTGGTGCGTTTTGGGTACATCGGGGACAAAAATCAAATTTTTTGAAAAATTAAGGGGTACCGGGACAATATTAAGAAAAAATTAAAAAAAATAAAATAAAAAATGTATATATGAATGAAGTTGTTTTGCCATAATCTCATCCCTTTTGCCTTAATCTCATCAGTTGAGCACCAAGAGGCGACTTCGACCCAGAGATCACCTCGTCTTCGACTTCGACCACCCTCGTCTTCGACTTCGACCCACGGCATCGGGCACGACTTCTTCTTCACTGTTTCATCACCCTCCTCTTCTCTCATCTTCTTCGTTTCTTCTTCTTCATCTCATTTTTTTTTGGCAGAGATCAGCAAACATCTATCATCTATTTTCGTCCCCTGCAACCAAGTAAGTGGTCAGAATTTTTTCATCTTTATTTTTTTTGTTTTTTTTCTTGTTTCTTGTTTCTTCTTTAGAGAGGTATAATCTGATGTTGATGTAGAACCAAAAAAAAATTAGAGAGGTGTAGAACCAAGTTATTCAATCATATTTAAAACAAAAAAAAAATTAGATCAAAAAAATTAATAAATTAGAACACAAATAAATTAATAAATTAGAACCAAGTTATTCCTTTGCTTGGATTATAGACTGCATTGGTGTTGGTTATGTTGAATTCAAATATATTAATATTTTTGTCTTTTAGTTTTATAGTTCTCTTTTTAGTTTTGATATTTAACTTCAATTTGTAGGTTAGATCTTTTAACCATAATTATAAAAAATAAAAAAATATCGGCACACCGCAGCCGTACCCGTGCCCTACTTTTTTGGGATTTTTCCGTATCGGCGTACCCGTACTCGTACCCGTACCGTACTCGTACCCACACTCGTGCTTCTTAGCCCTCAATTTATTAGTTAACTTTTGCTTTCTTTGGGATTATCTTGTTAGCGGAGGATTCCCTCCGTTCTAAAATTTAGATTAATAAAGGATATTTGAGTCTGGAAAGTTTATTATGAGTCCAATTTTGTTGATCCAAATCGTTCATTTTGTTAAATATTTCGTATATTTTATTCACAAAAAAATTAGGTCAATTTGATAACTGTAATTCATTCAGTTTATAGTGTTTTTCACTAAAAAAATGAAAGACAATTGTGTTTTTAAAAAATGAATTATACATTTTTTATGACAAATAATAAATTGAACAAGTAACAATTATCGGATCGACATAATTCTTTTGGATGAAATGCATGAAGTATTGACAAAATGAATTGTTTAAATTATCGAAACGGAACCCATAGTGGACCTCACAAGCCTAAATGTCTCACATGGGTGTGGAGTTCGCAATTTTATGAATTTCGCAACTATATGAAATATTTGATTATTTATTTAATAAAAAATTTGAAACATATAACATTTTCCTTATATTAATGGCTTAATGGCTCTATTTATTACTTGACTTATTTTTGTAATTATTTTAAGGTCAAATTTTTATTTTATTTCTAGATCTGCCAAAACTAGTAGATGATCCTTAAAATTTTAAAATTTTGGAATCAATTTTGAAGAAAAAAAATTATTAAATACCAAAATAAGTCAAATTTTATGGAAAACCCAAGAAGTTAACTTTGTGTTTTCAAACAAATAAGTGGACTTTTTATAGTTAAAAAATAAGAAAAAATTATTTATAAATCCCATCTTGAAGGATGGTGATCTGGTTAGTCTTAAGAATTTTTTTATAAATCAATTAGTTCAATTAATTTTAAAAATATAGATATAATATATTATTGGAAAACTGAATTTACAACTACCTCTTACTTCCTTTTTTTTTGCTTTTCCAACTTCTTCTTCTTCTTCTTCTTCTTTTTTTTTCTTTTTTTTTGTGTGTGTGTGTGTGCGCGCGCGCGCTAGAAAGGTAAGATATACAATCTATGAGAATCAAATTTGGGATAAATTTTTATATAAATATTTTTTTTTATTTGAAAAATATTTCAAAAAGAGTACAAAAATGACTTGAAATATATGATTCTTCAAACATTCTAAAAGAATGTAGGATTATCCAAACATTTCAAAAAAAATACAAAAACTCCTTTGTAAGTTTCGGACAAATGTATAATTTCAAATTATAGTACTCCAATGTAACACCCAAAAGTAACACTCCAAAAAAAGTCATAAGTAAATTTTTCCCAAACGTAACACTCCAATATAACTCTCTAAAAAATTTCTTAGTGTAACACTCTAATGTAACACACAAAAAAAATAAATTCTTAGTATATTTTTTCTAAATATAATACTCTAATGTGACACTTTAAAAAAAAAATATGTGAGTTTCTTTAAACCATTCCCAATGATTTTTCAAATCATTTCATAAGGATTACAAAAATTTCTTAGTAAGTTTTGGTCAAATATATAATTTCAAACTGTGACTGTAACATTTGAAAAAATACACTAAGGAGTTTTTAGTATTTTTGTGTGTTACATTGGAGTGCGTTACATTGGAGTGTTACGTTTAGGATTACATTTATTGGAGTGTTACGTTTAGGAAAAATACATTAAGGTTTCGTTTGGGAATAGACTATTTTAGTAACTTTTTTACTTTTTACGAAAAGATGTGCAGAAAAATAAAGAGAGTGATATGACAATTGTGAAAGGACGAAATTTTCTCCACATGGAAAACGAGATGAGCTGCTCCTTCCTATCTTTGTAGAAAAAATACCAAGTTATCAGTGATCTCTCCCGACCAGAGTTGGTCGGAAGGACCTTCTAATGATCAAGTTAGAATTTTGTTTGGACATATTATATTTGAAAGGAAAGACTAGTTTGTATTGGTTTTTTTATTGTTTTGGTTTCCTTGGTTCTTCCTTTTATAGTGTCAATAACTTGCATTTGGGCCGTTGGATGACTATCTTGATCCAATGGTATTTTATGCCCCTGGACCTTGGTTGGGCAAGTGGTCAAGTTGTCCTGATCTACCACTGTTAGAGTTGTTTTTTTTTGGATGGCCTAGATTAGTTCAGACACTAGTTATCATCTTTGACTGTTGGATCTTACTCATCAGATGATTCTACTGTCAAGATATGTTGGTCCCATATCTCTATCTCTATCAATTCTGATCTCCATTGTAGGTTACAAACGAATCCATGGGCTCTCCTTTGTGTTGCGGATTTCCTTGCAGAAGGCGATCTTATTCAAACATTGTATCACGTGACTTCGTCTCTTTCATTAAGATAGATCTAACAAGAATTTGGGCCTAGCCCTTACTTTGGACCTGTTTTAGCTGGATTAAATGCTCTGGGCCATATACCCATTTTCTTGGGCTCTAGGTCAATATTTTTACCCTTTACAACAATTTATACTAGTGACTTTTTAATTTTTTGACTTTAGTGTCTTATATTAGAGTAATACATTATCAGACTGTTACATTGGAGTGTTATGTTCTTATTTGTAATGTGAGATTTTTTCCAAAAAGAGGGAAAATCTAAAATCGCTATAGTGCGAGTTGCCCAAATGTGTAATTTTACATTTAGAGAAATCCACTTTTATCTCTTAAAAATTAAACCTAAATGTGTAAATGACTATTTTTTTTTGTGTAATTTTAATTTTAATTTTAATTTTAATGAGACTTTTACTTTATAAGAAAAAAGAAATAGTTAAACAATTCATAATACCACATTTTAAGATTTATTGATACGCCTCGTTTGGGAACAGACTATTTTAGTAACTTTTTAGTTTTTTTGCTAAAATATGAGATAAAAAAAATACTCCCTCCGTCCCAAAATATTAGTCCCTTATTCCATTTTTCATTGTCCCAGAATATTAGTCATTCTTAAAAAATCAAGTACAAAAATAATGTAAAATTCCTATTTTGCCCTTCTTTTAAATTAATAAACAATATAAAAAGTACAATTATGACATTGATATTCCCAAAAAATGTACTATCAAAAGGGTAATTTTGGAAAATTAACTTTTTTCAAATGCAATAATTGTACTACCAAAAAAAGTTGAATTCCCCAAAAGGGACCATTATTTTGGGACGGAGGGAGTAGTATGTTTGGGATGCCTTTTTGACTTTTTACGAAAAGATGTGCAAAAAGTAGAGAGAAAAAAGAATCTTTGACTTTTTGGTATAAGTTGTTGACTTTTTAATTTTTTTAGTAACTTTTTAGCTTTTAGACTAAAACAGTCACTACCAAATGAGGTCTTAATTAAAAAAAAATCCAAAAAAACTGTAAAATATTAAGGCCAAGTTTGGGAAGATAAGAAAAAGTCAAAAAGTTACTCAAAAAGTTAAAAGTTAACACTATTCACAAAAATTCAATAATTACGACTGCACAACTCTCGATTCTAATTTTTTCCTACAAACCAATTTTTATAATTTTTTAATACACATTTTTTTATAAAAAGTTAAAAAATTAACCCAAACATCTATATTTTTTTTCTTAATTTTTTAATAAAAAAAATAAAAAATACACTTAGTTAGGACAACCCAAACAATCCCTAAATCAATGATCTCTATTTAAAATTGTTGCTGTGAGGGGGCATAAATTGTTGCTGTGAGGGGGCATAGTATGGATAAATCTTTAAGAAATATAATAGGAAGAAGGAGAAGAAAGGGACCAAAGCAGAAGAACTTGCTTTTCAAAAGGGGGATAAAAGTCAGTTTTGAGTTGAAGACTCAAAGAACTCCTTCCTTCCTTCTTACTACTACCATGGATGTCGAGAAAGTTTTCCACATGACTGGTGGCGCTGGAGACTCTAGCTATACCAAAAACTCTTCTCTTCAGGTCTCTCTCTCTCTCTCTCTCTCACACACACAAACCAGTTATGTTTTTGATTTTCATGTTCTTTTTCTTTTTCTTTTTTTCTTTTCAGAAAAAGGGTTCAGATATGGTGAAGCACATAACCATGGGGGCAATTCAACAGCTTTATCTCACAACATCTCCAAAGAGCATAGGCATAGCAGACTTGGGCTGTTCTTCTGGAACAAATTCATTATCGACCATAAGAGAAATGGTAGACGCAATCGAAGAGACCAATCGCAGCAAAGTTTCTCAACCATTGCCAGAGTTTCGAGTCTACCTCAATGATCTTCCCACCAACGACTTCAACGCAGTCTTCAAGGCCTTGCCGGACTTTTACAGAGAACTCAAGCAAGCAAGAATTGATCAGGGATCCGGCCCATCTATTTACATCGCCGGTTATCCGGGTTCCTTTTATGGAAGGTTGTTTCCGACCGACTGCTTGCACTTCATCTACTCCTCTTACAGTCTTCACTGGCTTTCAAGGGTAAACTTTCATTCATTTTCTTCCACTTTCACCCAGCAAAGTAAAAACAAAAAAAAGAACTCTAACAAAGAGGATTGATTTCATACATATATAGCAGGAGCAACTAAGAAAGAAAGAGTGCCTTGTTTATGCTGCATATATTATATATGCTTGTTTCTATAGGAAAAGAAAGTTCAACTGTCTTTGTGTGTTGTTGATATTTGTAGGCCAAAGTCAATTATTTTGGTCACCTTTAGAATCGCTTAAAGAATGATGATCTTTAATCTTTTGTGATTTTTCTTTTCTTTTGGGTATATGTGCGCTCTTATCAATCAAATTAACCTTGATCATTCTTTTGTTAAAGATCAAAATGATTGATGTTGGGCAGCACAAGATTCTCTGTCTTCAAAATTCATGTCGTCTCCCTATCTTAGTATATAATAGGTGACTAAGAATGCATTGAGAGAGGGACAAAAATCTCGAGAATAGAGAATAATGGCCGGGCAAGGTATTATTTAAGATTTTGAGATTAAAGATTGTGATCGCCCTTTTGTGGATCAAAATGAAGCCAAATAGGTGTTGGACGGTATAAGATTCTTTGTACTCTAAAATCTATGTCCACTCCCCTATCTCAGTACATATATAGTGAGTGAAAAATAGGACATTTTGGTCATGTTTGATTCACAAGACTAAGTTTGATTTACAAGACTAATAGTGAAGTATTAATAATTCTATTAAATTAGTGTGATATTCATTATCCAATTTGATTAATAATCTTATCCCTACCATATTATTAATAATCTTACAAATTTGTTGGATTAATAATCCTAAATCAAAATATTAAAACAAACATAGGATAATTAGCCCCACGGATTAATAATTTCAATCCTATGCTCTAATCAATCCAATCAAACATGCCATTTGAGAACCAAGGATCATAGCCGTGCATGATACTTGGTGTGTAAGCCCATAAATTGCACCCAACATCCTTTGATCCTTATATATTTCACGTTGATTTCTAGCATTTACTAGATTAAGCAAATAAAACATTAACTTGATTTTTATGAATTTTGAACACTCAATTTCAATTAAGGTCTTAAGTTTGAAGCGAAAAGAAAGTTATTTATCACATATTCTCTGAATATATCAATATGTCATACATTAGATATGGAATTGTGCCAAACATTTTTAATGCATTAATTAGATGAAATGTGATTTGATTAATCAGACCTCAGTCCTCACCATCTAACCAAAGTTGACAATGATGATATCAATTAATGTAGGTTCCTCCAGCTCTTTATGATGAGCAAGGAATGTCAATCAACAAAGGCAACATTTACATATCTGAATCTAGCCCCCCTGAGGTCTCAGAAGCATACTTCAAGCAATTCCAAGAGGACTTCTCATTGTTCCTTCGATCACGCTCAGAAGAGCTGATCGCCGGAGGCAGAATGGTGCTAATTTTGTTGGGAAGGATAGGTTCAAACCATGTTGACAGAGGCAACTCATTATTGTGGAAGCTTCTCACTCAATCCCTTACCATTTTGGTTTCGCAGGTAGTGTACTACTTATTGAACTCATAGTCTTATAAAAGCATTTTTTGGGGTTTTTTAATACCAAAATTTACTTTACCCATTTGTGAGGCTGATCTCTTTGTGGTTTTGGACTAATATGCAGTCTAGCCATCAAAATACTATTTTATCCTTGCACGAAAAAGGGCTAGGAAGGGAAGAGGGAGCGGTGGCACTGGTCAGAGGGGAAGGGGGTACGGCGGTGGTGGTTGTGGACAAAAGTGGGGTGGCAGTGAGGGCTGAAAAGCGAAGAGGGAGGTGCAACTGTGGTTGGGGAAGGGAGAAGGGGTGGCTGGAGGTGACAAAGAAGAGAGAAATTGGTTTGTTAGAGTTTGAGTTTTTAGGGTTTTGAGGTTATGAAGATAAAATGACTAATGAGGTCATTTATGGTTTTTTTTTTTTTTTGGGCAAACCATTTTTTAGTGAAAAGAAAAAAAAAATGAATTCGTAAATGGGCACATTTAATACCATTTTCGTCTATTTGGACAGAAATGTGGTAGTTACAAATTAATTCAAAATCAGGAGCTATCAAACTTATATTCGAATTACGGGGTAAAAAGTCTCAAACCAAAAGGAGATAAAAGTGAAATTTACCTCCTTTCCTTTAATCACTTACACTTGATTTATGTTATTTTGCAGGGGAAAGTTGAGAAGGACAAGCTTGACTCTTATGAAGCCCATTTTTATGCACCATCAAAAGAAGAATTAGAAGATGAAACAAGAAGAGAGGGTTCATTTGAAATGGACAGGCTCGAAATGGTTGAAATGGGTAGGGATGTTGAGGATAGTAAGAGCTATGGAATGGCAGTTGCTAAGGCAGTTAGGGCCATCCAAGAATCAATGATAAGCCACCATTTTGGAGAAGGAATTGTGGATAGTTTGTTCCAGCAATATGAAAGATTGGTGGTTGAAGAAATGGCTAGAGAAGAGATGATAACTGTCAGTTTTGTTATTGTTCTTGGGAAAAAATAATGATTATTCAAACATGAATTGAATTAATTATATTTGTCTTTATTGAAATTTGTTTATTGTGTCAATCTCATCCTATTTTTTCAAATTGATGAATTTTGCTTTTAATTTTTCACACCATGTCGATTTTGTCTAATTACTATCACCCGCAAAAAAATTAAACAAAAATCAATACTAAGGGCAAGTTTGGGAAGACTAAATAAGTGTATTTTTTGATTTTTTATGAAATATGAATTGGATTTGGGTTGGGTTTGAAGTGATGTGTTAGAGAGGTAATGTGACTTAAATAAGATGATGTGATTTAAATAAAATAGTGATTTTTTGACTTTTTAAATTTTTTTTGAAGATGCCAAACTTAACCTAAAATGATTCATTCAAAAAATTAGATGTCAATTCCACTCAATCAATCACTTTGAAAAGTAATAAAAAGGCATCAAAGGTGGACTAAAATTTAAAGTTAAAATTAAAAAAACTAAACTAAAAGAAGAGACAATTACTACAAGAATATATACAAACACCTTATGTGCATGAAAATGAAGGACAAATGTAAAAGTGCATATGCGGAGCATTCTCATTCATCAGGTAGTTTAACTACGATACAATATGTGCGACTGTGGATGGTTGAAATGGGTAGGGATGTTGAGGATAGTAAGAGCTATGGAATGGCAGTTGCTAAGGCAGTTAGGGCCATCCAAGAATCAATGATAAGCCACCATTTTGGAGAAGGAATTGTGGATAGTTTGTTCCAGCAATATGAAAGATTGGTGGTTGAAGAAATGGCTAGAGAAGAGATGATAACTGTCAGTTTTGTTATTGTTCTTGGGAAAAAATAATGATTATTCAAACATGAATTGAATTAATTATATTTGTCTTTATTGAAATTTGTTTATTGTGTCAATCTCATCCTATTTTTTCAAATTGATGAATTTTGCTTTTAATTTTTCACACCATGTCGATTTTGTCTAATTACTATCACCCGCAAAAAAATTAAACAAAAATCAATACTAAGGGTAAGTTTGGGAAGACTAAATAAGTGTATTTTTTGATTTTTTATGAAATATGAATTGGATTTGGGTTGGGTTTGAAGTGATTTGTTAGAGAGGTAATGTGACTTAAATAAGATGATGTGATTTAAATAAGATAGTGATTTTTTGATTTTTTAAATTTTTTTAAAGATGCCAAACTTGACTTAAAATGATTCATTCAAAAAATTAGATGTCAATTCCACTCAATCAATCACCTTGAAAAGTAATAAAAAGGCATCAAAGGTGGACTAAAATTTAAAGTTAAAATTAAAAAAACTAAACTAAAAGAAGAGACAATTACTGCAAGAATATATACAAACACCTTATGTGCATGAAAATGAAGGACAAATGTAAAAGTGCATATGCGGAGCATTCCCATTCATCAGGTAGTTTAACTACGATACAATATGTGCGACTGTGGCCTCATTTGGCAACAGGTTAATTTAATAATTTTTTTAATTATTTAGTTAAAATATGAATTAAAAAAATTAATATATTAAAGATAATTTTTTAATCTTTTACGAAAAGATGTATAAAAAGTAAAGAAAAAAAAGAATTTTTGACTTTTTAATATGAATTATTGACTTTTTAACTAATTTAATAATTTTTTAACTAAAAGATAGAGTTCTAAACGAGACCTGTATATATATATATATATATTTTGATACTATCGTATCCGAGTAATGATTTGAAAAAATATATATATATATATAAAATATAAGTAAAATATTATATTATATTTTTTAAAATTTCAATCTAACTTCATAAATCAAATAATTGAAACACAAATTTAAAAAAGACACGAAAAACAGAGATCGGAAAATGAGGGCTATTTCGATAGAAGAGAATTGACTGATGAAGAGTGAGAGTGAGAGTGAGAGTGAGAGTGAGAGAGGGAGGGGTAGGGGCTAACCAGATAAGATTGTTGGTGAGTCTCTCTCTCGGTGAATGTGATCGTGCTAACGTAATCGATTTTTGTCCCGTACTGAATTTTTTTTCAATCTCATCTGTTGCTTTAATGTTATTTTTGATTGGATTAGTCGGTAAACTTCGTACTTCGTTGCGAGTAGTACAAACAAAATCTTGTTGCAAATATGAATCACATAACAAAATAATGATGGTTTGGAAAGTGATTTTTTAAATAAGTTTATACATTAAAATGTGTTGAAAAAAATTATTAATATGTTTAGAAATATTTTTTAATTTTTTACATATAAAATGTAAAAATTAAAATGAATGAAAATAAATATTTAATTTTTGTATGAGTTAAAAAAAAAAAATTAATATTTTTTTAATTTTTAAGTTAGAATATCAATATGCTAAACGAGATAAAAGATTGACTTAATAGATATGAAAAAAACTAAGAGTATTTGTGAAATTTATATATATAGTATATTTGAGACATATTGATATGGGTTTGGAGCCATGAGATAACGCTTCTCTAATCTCCACATGAATCTAGGTTTGTACAAATACCAACATAAACAAAGACATAATAGATATTGGCGAAAATGTATTTGATATCTTATTAAAAATAAGGATACTGTGTCACTGCTGTGCATGATTGTTGTGCAATTCATAAAATTTATTTCAGGTTCTATTTTAATAATTCGAATCGTTGAAAATTTTAAAAATATCGAGAATAATATATCTGTAAAAAATTAAGTTGATCGGATATCAATAACCTGTTTATCAAATAACATTTGTATTTAATTTGATACATATATATTTATTTTTTTTATATAAAGATGTTATTTGATGAACCAGTTATTGATATCCGATCAACTTGATTTTTTAGAGATATATTGTTCTCTATATTTTCTAAATTTTTAACGGTTCGAATCATCAAAATAGGACTCGAAATGAGTTTCCCAAGCCGCACAACAGTCACTGCTGTACTGGCTCCTAAAAATAAATATTAATTTATATATATATATATATATATCATTTTGTTAATGAGTCTATTTGAGCCAAGTTTAAGCCTATTCAAAAGCCTAAAAATTAGACTAGTGTTTGTTCATTTAACAAATGAGTTTCAACCGCGCTTTAAATAATCCAAGTTCAAATTATTACTGAACAGCCTACTTATTTTACAAATTAATATGACTTAGGTCAAGTTTGACATATTACAAAAAAATTAAAAAGTTAAAAAATTATTTAAAAAGTAAAAAAGTTAATATTATTTATCAAAAGTCAAAAATTACGGCTGCACAACTTTCAATTCTAATTTTTCCCTACGAATTAATTTTTACAATTTTTTATTACACATTTTTCCATAGAAAGTCAAAAAGTTAATCCAAACATCCATATTTTTTTTCTCAATTTTTTAAGTCTAAAAACACAAAAAGTATACTTATTTAGGACACCCCAAACAATCCCTTATTATTAAATAGTTCTTGTTTAAATAAAAGAGTGATGATTACAAATTCAAGCATACATATAGTTTATTAAAAAAAAAAAAAGGAAAAAATATTTATAAGTTTTATTTGGAAGATTTATTTAATGTAAAGTCCTATGAATATTTTTTTAGAATTTGAAATCCTATTTAAATAGTAATGTGTTCCATAAGGTCCTATGAATTCTAAATGAATGATAGTAGTGTACTATTATACCCCTAATTTGTTTCCATATTATACTTTATTTTCTCATTCATCATATCACGTTTGGAAAGGCTTTTAGGAAAGACAAGTCTACAAGCAACGATCGTGTGAATATTTTTCGCCTTGATCATTGGATTCCAGTTTATTTTCAAAATGTTGCTTAAATGAATGTAGATATGGTCGATGATATGATGAAGTTTGAGGGTTGTGTGTTGATTCTTTTGATAGATTTTGACTCCAACCAGTTGAGGGGAAAATGTATGTTTTTTTTTTTTTTTTATTGTGTTGCTATTTGTTGAAGTGTAGATTGTTCATCTTTAATAGGAGCATTGACAATGTATTAGACTTATTGATAAGCATACTTTGGCCAATGTTCTGATTGAATGTATGTATTTGACATTGTAATGGTTGATGCATTTTGATATGTTCGATATGTGGAGTGGTGTGTATGGATTCAAGGGTTGGGTTGGAGGTATTTGGTTTTGGTTGTTAATTGGATGTCGAATGTGAAACACGTCGTAGGATGGCAATTGTACATTGGGACATGAATGATCGTGTTACAATGCATGTTACATTTAGTGTGTAATGTTAATCCACATATACCATGTAGTAGATGACATTTGTGTATTTGAATGTGTATCGTATCTTTGTTGTAATCATTATTTACATACATGTCACAGCACATTGCACAAAATTATTGGAGATTTGGGTTTGTAATTGAATGTAGATTGAATCTTATCACTCAATGTTGAAGTTACGCTGGGTTGAGGATGATGATGGTTCAATACATGGGTTGGGTTGGGATATTACATGTTACATTTAGGAGGTTACATTATTCATAATTTAACGGTGGAGTATTGGAATGTTACATTGGGTTTCGGATGAGAGCATATGAGAATGTCACAAAGCTCTGGGATGTTACATGTTACATTTACGTTGGGTTTGGGATGAGAAGCATATGAGAATGTTAAGTTGGGTTTGAGAATGTCACATTGAGTTTGAGATGTTACATGTTACATTTATGTTTTGAATTTTAAATTTCCAACCATATAGATATGATCACAATCTAAGCTAACATTGGATTTCTGATATATGATATTGCCATTAATCAAGTTACTTTGAATTTCAAAAGTATATGGGAATGTCACGTTGGGTTTGGAAATGACACATTGGGTTTGGGATGTTACATGTTACATTTACGTTTTAAATTTTAAATTTTAAATTTTCAATCATATGTATATGATTACAATCTATAGTAACATTGGATTTTCCATATATGGTACTGCTATTAATTAGGTTATTTTGAATTCCAAATTTCTAACCATATAGATATAATTACAACCTATGGTAATATTAGATTTTTCATATGTAGTATTGTCATTAATCAAGTTAGAGCATCTCCAACGGTAGTAGGCATTTTACCTATCTGAATATTACTATAAA